AATGCGTCATATTACTAAAATTATTTTTAAAATAAAATAATGTAATTTTTTTTATTTTTAATTAAATGTAATTTCTTTTATTTTTAATCGCAAAAACACCTTTTATTGTTTCAAAATTAATAGCTTCTCCTGAGATTTTCACTTTTTTACACTTATAACGTTTTCTCCATCGAATCTCTAATTAATATCGTGTAATTAATATAGTGTCAGATCTCTTAATATATCTAATAATATTAAAACATAAAATAATATTTTCCGGTTTTATCTCCGGGTTATCTCGATTCAGATTTTTTCATATTTCCGGAAATATGATTTTTCCATCGCGAAATATGCACGTTATTCTCTATCGCGCCGTAAAATTGCTCGGAGGACCGACTCGAGGATAAAAAGAGAAAAAAAATGGGTTTTAATGTAGCGACGTAAATCTCTCTTTCTATACAGCCATAGCTGCCACCGGGGTGTACGATTTCCTGCAGCAACGAAAGCCAGAATCATCCTCGTATACACGAAGAGAGGCGGTGTTTTGAAAACAAGAATATGCTACCGCGCTCGGTTATTGTCATAACATCGATCCGCAATGTTCTGATGACCGCGACAAACTGTATTACATATATACGAGAGCCCCAATCACAAAAGAGAAATACACAATCTCTGGATAATAACCAGTCGCTCGATTGAGTTCAAAAAAGTGTAGGCGACTTTAAGCACGAGAATTCTGATATTAATGATAATATAAAGTAAAATGGAATGCTGATTGACGGTACTATAATCTTATATACGTACTTTTAAATCCCATGTTAACATCGTTACAAATCGCCCTGATGTAAAGAGTAGAGACATGTTGAAATGAATAAACCGGAAAAATTTAATATCTTTCCGCAAAATTTTGCCAAAGTGGATATTTGATTTTCGAAATTATAATCTTGTGTAAAGGAAATTAAAGAGGTGTAATGATGAGAGAAAAGATACGGTTAAAAATATACGCCTAGTGGCACTGTGGAATTAACAAACAAGCATGGTACAAACGGTGTATGTTTCAACCGGAAGTTAAACGAGCGAAGACTACTGCCTCACATGATAACCCGGTGACATGAAAAAAACGGAAATGACGGACGAAATATAATGCGTAGAAGGTATATCGATTAGACTCCGAGGCAAAGCCGATCTCCGGGGCGAAGGTCATCTTCGTCTTCGTCGTCGCAGAAAACCGTGGCATTCGCATTCCTGAAAT